CACTGGGTCTACAGTTTTTCCACCGGGCCTACAGTTTTTCCGGCGGACCTACAGTTTTTCCACTGGCCTACAGTTTTTTCCACTGGGACTACAGTTGTTCCACTGGCCTACAGTTTTTCCACTGGGTCTACAGTCTTTCCACCGAGCCTACAGTTTTTCCACCGGGCCTAAGTTTTTCCACTGGGCCTACAGTTTTTCCACTGGGCCTACAGTTTTTCCACTGGCCTACAGTTTTTCCACTGGGGCCTACCGTTTTTCCACTGGGCCTACAGTTTTTTTCCACTGGCCTACAGTGTTTTAAATGTGCTGGCCCTTTAGGCTCTCACTTACTCTGCTGAGTATGAGACACTGGTCAGGATCAAAGCATTTATATACTGAACCGCAAAAGAAACGTCACCATGGATAGATATGTGAGAAACCGTATTTGTCAAAACAGTGTAAACATACTTTGAGACATAGTAAAAAGATTAAACTTGGCAAAACTGATCATCAAGGTTGAAATTAAAGTGTCAAATGTTGTGAAACACAACACTAGTCTCCGAGCAAATGGTATCACAAGTCAGTATCCCGTGTGACCGCCATGTGCATTGATGACTGCCGTGCAACGTCGATACATGGAACGGGTGAGGCGGTTGATGAAGGCCATAGGCACTTGAGCCCACACTCTGAGGAACGCCTGACGCAGTTCAGCTGCATTTGTCGGGCTTGGTCGGACGTGAAACTCGTGGTTGCGGCGACGTGCCAAATGAGGTATGGCGTGTGGTTTCAAGACTTGATCATTGTACCAAACTGCTGTGACACCATTCCCTCTCCCTGGACCGATGTTCTGGAAGACCACAGGGCCGACCCTCTGTGCAAGACCAATTCCACCCCACACCATGATGCTCGGACCACCCCACGAGTCTCTCAAAAACACAAGCATCCGGGTAATGTTGCCAACGGCGTCGCCAGACTCTGTCTCTGCCATCTGCTGTTGAGATACAGTAACGGCTCTCGTCTGAGAAGAGGACTCTTCTCCACTGCGGGTGGCGCTGTGTTGCCCACGGAAGACGGTCCCGGCGATGACGTGGTGTCAGAATGGGTCCTCGGTGTGGCCTGTGACAGTGGAGGTGTCTGCTCGTCAATCTTCGACGCACGGTCTCCGCACTAATGTGTCGCTGGTGTGTCTCAATCGTCTGTCGAGCAGTTTCCGCAGCAGTAACAAAGCGGTATTGAAGATGCTGTCGCACAATCTGACGATCCTGACGTCGGGTGGTGGTCCTTGGTCTTCCACTACGTGGTCGGTCATCTGTAGTGTTGGTGGTCTGGTACCGTTGCTGGGGCCTGTATATGGTCCTAATGTGGGCTTGAAATGCATTGGCTACTTGTCAGGCGGTTTGTCCAACTTGCAATCGTCCAAGGGCTTGGTGTCGTTGATTTCTTGTCAATCTTGGCATGTGGTAGCAATTCAATAACGAATGAATGTTGGGTGGATTTTTATAGGGCAAGAAATGGGGGAACGCATGTGCATTTCAATTTGCACGGAACTCACGTGCATCGGGTTACCATGGCCGTTGCCGTGATGCGTTTGGGCGATCGGTTTTCTTGTCATCTGCTTTATTATTTTTATCATCAAAATTTCATTTTTCCGGACAAGGTAATGTTAAAATTTAGAAACTTTGACAAAACTTACCCAGACATTTAAATGACAACTTTTCATGCAATGTTACTTGGGGTGACGTTTCTTTTGCGGTTCAGTATATTTTAACCGAAGGCAACGTAGGTTCCTTGTAGACCACATGCTCATCAGAACTCTACTGTTGATAATTAGTTTGTTTTACAAGCTCTTTGTTCCAAATATTTGTGCAAAACCTGAGGTCGCTTTTATTGTGTATTTATTGATTTAAAAAAAAGCTTGACCTTGTTAATAGGAAAAAAATGATGTATTTACTTGTTATTAAAGAAAGTCATGGTAAAATGTCTGTACTTTTAAAAAACATGTATGCATCAGTCAGCGTATGTATAAAGGTCAATAATGAACGCACTGACTGCTTTACAACATCCTCCGGTGTACGACAAGGTTGTGTTTTAAGTCTGTTGTTGTTTATATTTTTCATAAATGAACTTGCCATAGAGCTGCAAAATACTTGCCAACATGTTGTATTTGTAACACAAATAATGGACATTATGCTCCTTCTCTTTGCTGATGTTGTCATTTTTCCTATTCTGTAAATGGCTTGCAAAAACAGTTAAATGCGTTACATAGTTACTGTTCAAAATGGAGTCTTGAAGTAAATCTGAAAAAGAAAAGGTGGGATTGTTGAGTGTAGTCACTTACTATAAATATTTAGGTCTCATGTTCTCCTCTAGATTGTCATGGTCAGTTAGCTGCTCGGGCGTCGAAAGCCATTATGCCTCTTTATAATTTATTCAGGAAAATTAGTTGTGCGTCTTTCTTCACAGCATGTACCATTTTTTAAGGCAAGGTTATGCCACGTACGTATATACATATTCTGTATACGTCTTTGGTTATGCCTATACTTTTGCATGGTTCTGAAATATGGGGTGCTAGGTATTACACTGCAATTGAAAAAGTTCACACTTCATATTTCAAATGTTTTCTGGGTGTTGGTAAGTTTGCCTCAAACAAGGCAATCTTTGGTGAAACACGCCGCAGTAATATTTTGTGTAGCCAGCCAATTCAGGGTAATTAAGTATTGGATTAAACTACTAAGAATGATGCCTGATAGATACCCAGAATGCCGTCAAACATGTTTTAAACTGCTTCTCGTTGCGACGTATCTGGGTCACCTACATATCTAATTAGGCATATCACCTTTATGTCGTCATCTGGTTGAAATAGGCCACCGCAGTGCAAAGATGTTACCCGCAACACCAGGGATGTGGAACACACACATGCATTTCAAAGAGCAGTTCCCATGACCCGTCGGTGTGGCTGGTTAGTCTAGGAAAGCCAGACTGGCCTGCCAGGCCAAATAACAGGTGTCGTCACTAAACCTAACAGTTAGTGATTCGTAATTATTGTATTCCTCGAGGTGTCCTATATCACAGACACAGGTTTCTGCAACAGCTCCCATGATCAGAGACGTTAGCACGGATAACTTTGAATACCGAGACGGGGACGCCAACAGCTCATGTCATTATTTTATTAGGTTGTCTGGATGTGCGTCACCGGGGATTCGACTTTAATAAGGAGGCCTTTTAGGGCCATTTGTTTAGTATTTATTGCAAGATACATGTTACACAACAAAATTGCGTACAATGTCATTAAAGTACGGAAGCCTTTTAGGGCCATTTGTTTGGGGTTTTTTCTTGAAATTTCAAGATACTAAGTTGAAATTTCAAGATACATAAGATGGTATCTTGAAATTTCTACTTAGTATCTTGAAATTTCAAGAAACAAACAAATGGCCCTAAAAGGTTTCCGTATTTTAATGAAATTGTAAGCAATTTTGTTGTGTTTATATTTCCATAAACGAATAATAAACCGAACAAGTAGGCTAAGAAGCTTTGTGAATACCGCCCCAGGCCTGCTAACGGGCTGTTGTTTCCTGATTGGCTTGTGTTTCTTCACCGCATTGATTCTTCCTTTTCATAAGATCGCTCCAACGTTTCCGTGGTGTCGTGTTGCACAAAAGGGGACAAGGGTCGAGTTAAAAGATGAGTCACAACAAATTTTATTTGATCATTAAAATTTTAGTGCACTTTATCGCACGCACGGATGACTTCTGCCTCCATTCTGCATTCAACTCATTGTGCCGACACCCAGTCTGCCCACACTTAAAACGGCTTAAACCAACCTCTTAGTTAAATAAGACAGTCCATTTGCTAACACCGGTATAGATTGATATGTATTCACATTCCTTATATGGTCTTTATAATTTGTTAGAAGGTTGAGTCTATTATGGGAAAGGGAAGACAGGTATGCAGAAAGCACACATTCACATTGAACTAATCCCCTAATAAAACTTAATGTGCTTTATAAAACACAGCACAGCCTCTCCCACACATGCAGGTAAAATCGAGGTATTATTCATTACCTGCAACCTACACACACAAATAGATATCCTGTGTGTGTAAGTCAGCACTGAGCTAACATACCCGTGAAGATTCGGGGTAAAATAGTCCATAAGCAACATATGCTTGCCGTAAAAGTCGACTATGCTTGTCATAAGAGTCGATCGGGTGGTAGGGCTCGCTGTATTGGTTGACGCATGTCATCGTTTCCCAATAGATGCTCATAATGTCAATCACTGGATTGTCAGGTTCAGACTCGACTAGTGCTGAGTGTGGCGTTACACAACAAACCAACCGACCAGCAAACTGAACTAATAGTCCATTTGATAAAATAGTTATCCCACGACCTGACAACAGACTATCCAAGACCTCTAAAAAGACCATGTGACAGTAAAGTCTGTTTTGTGCTAAGTATCTGTTGTCCCGGGTGTGAAATCGGATCTTGCAGCAGCTACCTTAACAACAGCAACAGCTGTAGTGAGTGAGTGAGTCTGGTTTAACGCCGCTATTAACAGTATTCCAGTCATATCACGGCGTGTCAGCTTAATGTGGGAGGAAAGCTCGAAGTGATGCGGGTTTCAGACATTTACCACTTCAGTGAAACCCACGAGCACGGGTATGGTGCTGACAAACCTAGAAACATAATCGGGGCGAACCGGGATTCGAACTCACAATCGTAGGTTTCTGGCGTGCCCAAGGGACTCAACAGTCGTAAACAAAGCTATCAATTTCTGGATGTCAGTTTGGCTGAACACCAAGACCCCTACATTTCGAGTGCCCAGCAACCCATGCTAGTCGTAAGAGACGACATGATGGGCCAGTGGTAAGGCGCAGTGAAATGGTTGTTGCGTACCCCGACGGCGTCGATCGTTGCTCATAATATCAACCACTGGATTTTCTGGTTTACTCGAGTATTTACCGGCCGCTGTCATACAGCTGGAATGTTGCAGAATCCGGCGTTAAACAACAAACAAATGCATGTGTGAGTTAAAAAATATGTATTTGCTGTGAAAAAACATTCCTATACAGATGACGTGACTATTTACAGGAATATATGAAAACTAAACAAAACGCCCACACGATATTGGACACAATACTGAAAATAAACGGAAATATGATCAATATTCGTGAGGCATGTTTAGCTGACAAATATTATTCTTTGAGCACTTAAAACGTAAAACAATGTTATTTGTAAACATGATTAATAGTCGGTTCACACAAGTATGCATATATGATGAAGATAATTTGCTGACCAAGCAGATTACAACCCAATACATAAAACCGATTTGATCTGATAAGCCACATAGTTACATGGAGAATTATGTAGGAGATCAAATCAGAGTATGACAAATGAAAATGGGCGTTGCTAAATTCGTAATTAGAAATAAGTACAGCAAAAACAAAACAAACATTAGTTAACATAATTATACATATGTTGTGTGGCAATGCATTATTGTGGGTTTATTGCTGATGAGTGTTAGTAGCAGCGTATTGAGTTGCTCATAAAATGACAAATGTTTTGACCTTGGTGATACACCCATGGCATGTCGTAAAAAAGAGTGACCTCCCTTAGTTGTTAACAGTCCACGCTCCGTCCCAGCGCTTGATACGTTACCCTATTTGTGTATAGAGTTCCGCTGTGAGGAGTTTGTGGACATTTCTCGATTCATGCTGCATGATTCGAGACACTTCGAGGTAGCAGGTTCGAGAATGCAAACCTTCACTACAAGCCCAGTAACCTAGATCGCTACAAAACATGTTTCCTTCTCCCATTTACCTCTATTTTGACAACAGTTGGCAAGGTTGCGTAGATTAGTTTTGGTTATGAGTGGTGCTCTACACATTGCAATTGTTATGTTGTAAGCACTTTTGAGATACTACTTCATTACTTGAACCACTACTTCAATATATAAGCATTTGTTTCCCGACAATTCCCCTATATTTGATACGCCAAAGCGCCGGGCCCTGTGTCTCAGTAATTGTGTGTGTGTGCGTATGTCTGTTTGTCTGTCTGTCTGTGCGTTTCGGTGCGATTCCTGTTTCTTGTCATCTGTATTTCAATAATATAAAGGTAAAAAATCTATTTGGGGCTTTATGTGGCTACATGTAATAAAAACATATTCGAGATGTCGTGAGAACACTTGATTCAGGAATGTGTGATTATTGCACAAACAAAGATCCTGCTGTTATGTGCAAGCCTGGACGTCCACAGGTAACAGCTATATCTTATGGAAATGACAGCTTGTATCAAACAGTAAATGCTATTTCTCTGTGCGTAAACCCACAACTGGTTCCTACGTCATATCATGTTTGGGTTAAACATCTAATGTTTTGCACAAAACAGAGTGAACCACGGGGCATAACAAAACATCGCGAGAATAAAAAAACACCACGAAACATCGCAAAACAATGCGAGAATCACAAAACACACGGCGTTCACCAGGTTAAAAGACTACCACGTTCTTCCAACATGGACAGTGACACACAAACATGGATTTCAACACTGCCACAAAATTCCCTCAGATAACAACGTTCAACATGGGAGTGTCTGTACCTGAATAAAACAAAGGCAGACACTTGGAGGGAGTGGGTCAGTGAGTTGGTTTAAAGCCGTTTTGAACATCATTCCAGTGTCCCTTAATGTGGGAGGAAAGCCCAAAGTCATTCAGGTCTTAGACGTTTACCACTTTGGTGAAACCTACGTGAACGGGGATGGTGCTGACAAACCTAGAAACATAATCGGGGCGAACGGGATTCGAACCAACCTAATGTATAGGAATTTATGCAATGGTAAACATATAATGAAATAGAACCTTAAGAGTCACGAACATAAAAAGCCCGATTATGACTCCCAAAATACCTTAAAACGAGGGCTCTCTAGCCTTCATTTTAGAGACATCTTAGCTGATGATTGACCCAAAGAAATAGTCTTGCCCCCCTTGTTACAAGGACAGATACCTGGCTTCTACTAACCAATTTTTTTTGCATAAATTGAAATCTTAGATCCTATTCAAATTTAACTCATAAATCATTGTCCTTTTAAGTGAATTTTGCATTTTTGAACATATGGGTATATTACAGTCATAACAGAATCTTCTTGCACAATAGCAACATGCTCACGAACAGGAGGGAAACACTGATTTTATCTGAAAAGAAATAGAAAACTCCATTATACGTCAATATGAAATATGGACACCAAATATGACAGTGTTTTCCACAACAAATTTTCAAACATTCCAAAACATGGACCCTCCACATAACGTGTTTTATCTTTTAACCATAACAATGGACACAATGTTGCCAACATACGTTCTTCATCTGAAATTACACATACATTCAAATATTGTAATATTTAACCGTTAATAAATATTTGGTCAACACCACCTATAGTTATATGTTGTGACATCAGAGACGATCAAAAAGTCTTGTGACATGGATTTTAACTACTAGTGATTTTATTCTTAAAATACTAGTGTACTAGTCTTTGAAAGGTACTTAGAAGTGATACAGGAAGAGAATTTATGGATGTCAATATTATGAGGAACACAACGTTTTGGAGTATATGCTTACTCCTTCATCAGGTGAAGTTTATCCTTTTACTGTAATATTTCAGTACAGTTACCATGGTTACACGTCCCTTTATCATCTTGACCCACGCAAGTGATTGTGACTTATTACCGCAGGGTTAGACAAGGTGAAGACATATTCCTGTTTCTCATGTTGTTGTTTTTACAACTGACAGGTAGAGAGGGAGGATTTTATATTTCAAATTGTCTTTCTTTAGCAGATGCAAAACTGTAGAATACATGATCCTATTATACCACGTGACGTCTTTTGGTCACGCCACCTATGGTGTAAAAATCCGGAATCCGATGCCAAAACGAAAATGCTTCAGAAATAAAAATAAATATTTCGGGCGGTGAGAATTTTGGGGGGCGGACCAGAAAGAGGAAATTTTACATCCCAATGAACGATAAGATAATAAGATATATTAATATTCTCAAATCAATCCAGTTGCCGAAACATTGTTGATTTCCAGTGCAGTTGCTCCCCCTGGATTTTTTATAGAAACATTTTTCCTTGTGAAAGTTAACTTGAATAAGGAATGAATAATTTTATTTGCCCCCCACCCCGTCAAAAAGTAAACTACGGCCTTGATGTTATATGACATGAGGGCACATTGAAACGTGCTATTAAGTTTGTGACTCACCCGCTGAGCACGTTACAGGACTGAAAGCCCCCATTTTTCCATTGCCTCCTTGCGCAACCATCTGGTTAAATCGAGCTTGCAACCCGCTAGATCCGCTGCCTGTGAAGATAAATATACAAGGGCATTCATTTCCAAATAACTATAAAAAAAAACATTAACAGAAAGAAAGCGATAACTATGACTGGGATTTTTCCTATCATTTTTTTAACACAATAAAATTATACCCTTGTGGAGTTGATCCTCGGTACAATGAACCTCGCAAAGTGGTCCGACGGGTTTTCACAAATTCCACATGAGCCATAAGGCTGAGTATGGCGGCACTGTGCTCAGTCACCCAGAGGTTACAAAAGATTCTTACAATCTGACGAGTGCTTGAAGCTACCATATTATCTCATGTTTTGCCAGTCACGGACGTTGTTAATAATTACTGTCGGAGCTCGGTGCGCCTAAGCTGAATCGGTTTTGCTCTATTAATTTTTTTAAGAATCTCCTATTGACGTAACAATTATGCCAAAAACAGACGCAACGGATAGATCGGTAGCCAACCTACCAATGAAGTGGACGACCACTGATACGCAGCCATCTCCTTTGGTGTCGTCTCCAGACACCGCGACGTTCCATTCATTCGTACCCAAAGCCCGAGCGTATGTGCGAGCGATCTCAAGGCTGTGGAGAGGGGACGAAATCAGTGATGATATAGACATGGAGCAAACATTAACAAGCTCGTACACGCACATAAAAGAACGTAGATCTACATGAATGGGGCGAGTGAACGTTATTTTATACTACTGAAAAGTTAAGGACCACCCGATTAAATACAGTAAAATGAGTGAATGAGTATGGTTTTACGCCGCTTTTAGCAATATCACGGCGGGGGACACCAGAAATGGGCTTCACACATTTTACCCATGTGGGGAATCGAACCCAGGTCATCGGCGTGTTGAGCGAACGCTTTTACCACTAGGCTACCCCATCGCCCCTATATTAATATGAAAGATTTAGGTAGTCCTTGACTTCTTTTGAGTAGCATATTATACTGTAGCTGTAGAGTTCAGTAATCTTGAACGCGACCTCAACCTCATTTTACATATCATCACATTTCACTCAGCTCCCAAAATAAGAAATACCACCGAATTGATTCTGCGTTAGCTTGCTGTATAAGGCAACAGTCAGCAGATACACCACGATGGCCTGCAAATAATCAAGTCTGGACCAGACAAACCACTGATTGATATTATGAGCAACGTCACTCGCAATCAAACACTGAGTCTGACCACCGGATCCACTTTGTCGCCTATAGTGCATAGGCTAGTGGGGACCAATAATTCCTAACCGTGGGGGATTCAATGGAGAAAATTAAATTAGAGTTTAAATAAGTGGAGAATTTCTCGGAAGGAAAGAGAGTCTCGAGAATAATGAAATACAGCTACCGTTCATGTATACATGTATATCCAAGGTGCGTACAGATGTCCGTAACTTATAAACAAAAGGTTAGAAGTTACATCATTAAGTTAAAATCGTATTGTCCCGCACAGCTGGCGCACTGACGTCACACAATAAAACTACTATGAGATAATTAAGTGTCACAACTCGGCCCATCCTTCCTTTGTAACGTTGTCTGTCATTTATAATGAAGGATGGCCCAAGGCCAACTGTCATGCAGGGCAGGTTCCCGGTTCATTATGGATTAGATCAGCAGAAATGTCACTCAAATAAAGTCAATTTCTTCATGTTCATTCAAATGAAAGTGTACGTTATGCATTACGCATATTGTCCAAAGAAAAACATTTTATATTCTAATGATAGCCAATGGTTATCGTGCTTCTGTCGATGTTATTACTAGATTGTACATAAACAGCGTGTCGACGCCGACACTTGGTCAGCGGCTGCCTGTGTCCGCACTAAAGGCCTTCCATACAAAAGTACTTATGTTCGATCCCATATGGTCAGTCTGTGACCTTGATACGCCATTAGGTCCTAAGTATAGAGGATAGTACGGCAGAAGTAACAATATCGACGAGATTAATTGTAACGGAATATCTGTCATTACTTACGGGAGGGGAGGAACCGAACACATCCAAAGAATTTGTAAGAAGAAATAAAAAAATAAATTACTGGGTGTCCTGAACAAAAAGTGTCAGGTGCCCAGGTAAAAAACAAGTGAGTATGATTTTACGCCGCTTTTAGCAATATTCCAGCACTATCACGATAGGGAAAACCAGAAATAGTCTTCACACATTGTACCCATGTGGAGAGTCGAACCGGGTCTTCGGCGCAACGAGCGAACGCTTAAACCACTAGGCTACCCCACCGCCCAATATATCTTCAAGCAGAGACTTCGATTCCCGACATGGGTACAATGTGTGAAGTCCATTTCTGGTGTCCCCCGCAGTGATATTGCTGGAATATTGCTAAATGCGGCGTAAAACCATACTCACTCACTCAGGCAAAGACAAGACCAAATTGACCTCCTCAACAAAAGCAGCTACTCACGTTGATGTTGTGGAGAGTTTCTGGATGATTACGGTTGATTGTGCGGCGGACACTGGCAGGATGTTGGCGCATGCGATCCGGTTCATTGCTCCATCAGGCCCGTACAGCACAAAAGAATGTCCCACCACTGGAAACATATATAATCATATTGTTATATTCTCAATCCTCGGGCTGATGGGTTTGTATAGGCAAACCGGTGGTTGTCAATGATACTTCAATATCTCCATTGTTATTGTGGCTCTATTCCAGGGGGACAATATGAGATGAAGTGGGGTGGAATGGGAATTAATGTCGCGTTCAAGATTATTGTGCTTATTTTGCGACGTGTCTGTGAATATAGGCTATGACTAGTTCGGACTACTGCCGGTTTCATAGTGAGATGTCTTCAGCAACCCATGCTTGCCGTAAAAGGCGACTATGCTTGTCGTAAAAGGCGACTTACGGGATCGGGTGGTCAGGCTCGCTGACTTTGTTGATGCATGTCATGCATGGAATATTGCTAAGTGCGGCGTAAAACAACAAACCAACCAACCAACCCACTGAGATGTTTTGCGGCAGTTTGAGACTCTAATAAACAACCTGTCTGTCAGCATATCACGGCAGTCTGCCTTTAACCGAATCTGGGCCAGACAAACCAGTGATTTATGGTATAAGCAACGCTGTCGGCGCACGATGACGCGCATCTATCAATCAGCGAGACTGACCATGCGGCCTATGATGTCGCATCTGACAGTAAGGAATATATTGCTGGGGAGTGGGGACATAATCTAACCGGTTTCCCACGGGTGTAGTTGTGGGGAATCTTGTATAAACAAACCTGAATATTTCCCAAACAATGACAGATTGATGTCCGTGTAGAACTTCTTTTCACCAACACTGCAATGCCCAAGTCTGCCTGACAGGTCGCCGGCTTCACACCGCAGAGGATTTGACACGGAACACTCCGAATATCCCGTCTAAAAGGGATGTTGCAAAATACATTATTTCCAAATCAGAAACACTAAGGTTAACGTTGACTAGTAACTGATACATAAATAATAGTAAGCCGTCGGTTAAACAAACATATACGTGAAAAAGCTGAAACCAGTGCACCAAAATGGCAACACACCAACGGCAAATATTTTGTAATTATTTCATCTCGTCTTACCTACGATAGTGATGCTGTAATTGATGCTGACGACAAGAGCTGTTGTTTATCGATTTTAAATGAAAAATCCCCGAAAAGTTGGCTTTGTCGGAAATCTTACATACTTGTGAACCTCCTACCTCCAAATTTAAGGAATTAAGATTTTTTATTGATTGACGACGCTTTCAACACTTTTCAGTCATATACGGCGTGCTGGCTTACGTTGGAGGAAAGCCCGAAGTAATGCAGGTCTTAGACGTTTACAACTTTGGCGCTGGTAAAAGTGAATCAGGTCGGAAAGTTATCATCGCCTTGATGAAATATAAAACGTCAACGCCAGAGAATAACCATCCTCGATTATCTGCCTAAACAGGTTCCATTGGGTGTAAGACAAAATAGCATTGCAAATCTAATGAATGGATTACTGAGAATCAGTGATGACACCAGGTGTTCGCGAAAAAGGGTAAGCCTCTCCTGCCCTACCAGGGCACGGCTATGGTGTTGACCGACAAAGGTCAAATGTGCAATACCAAAGGAACATAACCCTGCACGACGAAAAACAGCGCCTTCGACAACTTGACAGGCGTGTCCCTGATAAGGAAGGAGAACATTGGACGAGAACAGGAATGTGAGAAATAATACGTACATTGGTGTTGACGAGGAAAGGGTTGAACTTGGCGCCTGCGCTGTCACATCGTTTGCTGCTTGACTTCCGGTCGCGCCATGCCGGACGGCTGCCAATGGCCATCATGTGTCCCAATGTCTACAAGAAATATCAAACTTCAGACCCTAGAGGTAAGGCGAGGTGAAACGGTGTTTAAATTTGCATTCAAGATTATTACACTTCTATTGTTATTGTGGTGTGTGTGTACGTGTGTGTGTGCATGTGTGTGTGTGTGTGTGTGTGCGTGTGCATGTGTGTGATTGTGAGTGTGTAAAATCAGACGGCAGGGAATACTGATGAGGGGGTAAGAGATGTTAATGCATGATTATTACTCACATTTCTGCCGTCGGGGTATACAAGATAAACAAAGATGGTGGCGTCGCTCATGCTACCATCGGCGTACACGTACTGGGTCTTAAACAGAAAAAGTTGACATGCAATGAAGGTTTGTCGCACTACATCGCAACTTCAGGAATACAATTCGTCAGGAAGGAGGAGAATGCAATTTCAATGCATACTATCCGTTTGAACGGGGCATAATCAATGACGTGATTATAATTACATGATAATTAGTAGTAGTACATAGTGGAGAGTGAATGCGTTATGATGATGATGCGATGATGATGATGATGATGATGATGATTATTATTATTATTACCATTCTAGGTTCTACTTACAAAAGTGACATGTCCACTGACATCCGAGTCTTTGGCTGTGAACACAGCTTTCGCCATGTGCTTAATGCCGCCTGTCTTCGACACATCCTCCACGATATTGCCGCAGGTCCAGCGAGCACCGCCAACCATCTTGTGTATGACGACAGACCTTCCAACAACGCTGTACTGTCCAAACAAGTTGATCATATTATCATATTTATTTATTTTCTTCGTCGATTCGTTATCCAGCATGCCATACTTGCCGCTCAGGTCTCCGATCTCATATTGGTCATAAGTTCCATTTGCAGGGGCAGGACCATCAGCTTTGATAACTTTAAATGGATTGTAGTGCCCCGCCACGCTAGCACCCGAACAGGGACTCTTGCTACTGGGCGGTACCGGGAACTCATGGATATGGTAGCCGCCAGCCTCCTGGCCAAGATTCTCGATGTCAATTGAAACCTCAGTATTATGATTAGTGTCAGCTTGCTTTTGGGTAAAGTTGATGAACCCAGTCACGTTTTGGACCCAGGTGTCCACGGTAGCGTATCGAGTCCTCAAATGAATCACATCAGCACAGGCTAGAGGAGTTTCTCCATTGTCCTTGGAACGAATCAACATTGATTTTCCTACGACACCAGGAGGTCCACTAAGAGGCACATTTCTAGACGTAAAGAAGAACCTGGATGGGGCGCCACTCGGTAGCCTGATTTTGAGGGTATCTGTTAACTTTGCCATAGCTCCCACAGGACAACGCAACGGGTTCGACATTTTACACTGAGAGTCGTATTCTCCCGACATGTTCACTCTGAACGGGTTGCTGATTGGGCCTACGGATGCGCACCGACCGCTTGTCTTCATCGCGTCATCGCCGACCTTGTTCTCATGAAGGCTCCATCTGTGGCCCGTGCTGGGGTTGGCAGTTCCATCTGCATAGTTGAGCTCGCCGAATATCCACGTGTCCGACATGGGGTCATCCATTGACTGACTGAACATGATTTTTCCAATGATCGGAAATTTGAAAGTGGCAATAGCGACAGATCTTGGGCTTACGTCGTTTATATTGGCACATATCCATCTGGGCGCGCCTGCAGTACTTTGGTGAATGACAACCGATCGTCCAACGATGCTGTACGGCCCGAACATTGGCATATTATAGTCTTTCATTGAATTATAGTATGAATCCTTACCAGCAAGACTTCCAAACTTGCCGCTGATGTCACCGACCTCGAAGCGATCTGTAGTGGAACCATTTGCAGGGAAAGGCATACCAAGAGGGTTCCAGTGTCCACCTACAGCCTCTGGAGAACATAGTGCCTGGTTGGCTGTGTATTGGTAGGGTACAGGATACAGGTGGACGTGGTACCCACCTGCTTTACTGGCCAATCTCGCCAGACTGACATGAATGTTTGTCACATCGAAAGGCGATGCTTGTTTAAAAAGGACACTTCCTACTACTCTGCCTTTGTTAAACATAGCCGAAGCGTGTTTCTCTTTAACGGTATTGATCATCCCACAGGAAACAATAGTATTATCATCATCAAGGATCACGAGTGTGTTGTCTGTGATGCTCGCGTCTCCTGACAGCGGCAGATTGATATCATGGAGAAACTTTCGGGCTGACCCTGCCGTGGCTCCAACCATCACCTTGCCCTGCTTCCCGTTCAGATTACCGACTGCGCATGCGCGTGGGTTTTGAATCGAACACGCCCCAGCAGATTTTACAGCAGGGTCATAGAGTGAAGTCAGACTTTTGCAATCGGGTGCCTTCCCTGAGTAAATCTTCCACGTGTAGCTAGAGGCTGCTGAAGCTGGTTGAAAGAGGTCTGCCAGAATCTCGGTCATCATCCCCAGCTCACCTTGGCGGAACCAGACAGCCCCGATTACGGGCCCCTGTAGTTGGGCGAAGGCTGTCGTGTACATGGAGGTCGGCTTCACCAGAGTTCCACACGCCTTCTCGCCGCCTTTAGTCAGGAGAAGGGAGCGACCTAGAAACAGAAATGAGAGTGAGGAGAAACTGCAGGAGCTTGATTCTTGATTATCAAGGGTATTCTTTAATGATAAATGCCGTGGTCTAGTGTTAGAGCGTCTGCCCGAAGAGTGGAAGGGCGGGGGTCCGATGGTACTTGTTGCTACACTGCCTGGCGCTCGGCATTACGAGGAAATTGACAGGGTATAAAGGGTATATTAATATGGTATAACGGGTATATTAACATGGTATAAAGGGTATATTGACATGGTATTACGGGGAAATTGACAGGGTATAACGGGTATATTGACATAGTATAACGGGTATATTGACACGGTATTACGGGGATATCGATGGTGCATAACGGGTATATTGACGGCATAACGTGGATATCAAACGAGTATGCGGGTATATGACGCAGCATAACGGGTATATTAATATGGTATAAATAGTATATTCACATGGTATAACGGGGATGTGGACATGGTTTAATGGGAATATTGACATGGTATAACGGGGATACTGACATGATATAACGGGGGCACTGAGACTCACTATAATGGGTATATTGACATGTATTTAAGGGCACATTGGCAGATAATAAAGGGCATATTATATCAACATACATTGTGTCTCTAGTATTTTGGATGGGAATGGAGTCAGCATTACTCCACATGGAGATCTCCCGTGTCCATTCACGTCATAATTCCAACTACAATGATGATCTACAATTGACGCAATGGCGGAGTTATAGTGCCGTGTTGTCTAGTGACTCTAGTTGAACAATATTTCAGTTATATGACGGCCTGTCAGCTTAATGTGGGAGGAAATAGCTGAGTGATGCAAGTCTTAGATGGTTGACACTTTGGTGAAACTCAAGGGACGCAACTCCGCATAAACTCCCATAACCCCTCCAGCTTTGCACTAATCCAGCAATGATAGCACCCCAGTGCCCCATGTACTCACCCAATAAGATGGCCAGATCGGGAACGACGCTGTTTGTTATGGTCATTGTCTCTTGGCCTGTAGATATGGTTGATCCAATATCAGGGACCCTGGAAACACAAATAGTATATATCTATCTTAGTATCCAAACTAATAAAAATCAGAAGTTTTATTCCGAAACGATGCCTTTCTGTGTGCAGATCAAAGACCATCTCCACAGGCGAATGCGTCAGTTGAACTTTCTAATCAGCCACAGCATCGAGACTCCGAAATTCTCGGTATGAGTGTACATGTCTGTTCTGTGAGGATTCTGTTTTCAATATCCCGCAAGGGTACAACAACAACAACAACAACAACAATAATAATAATAATAATAACAATAATAATAATAATAATAATAATAATGCTATTTATGTAGCGCAAAATCCACGTCACTGAGGGAAATGCTCAATGCACAAATTCAGCATATGTACATATATACAGAAAGGGGACAGTAAGATAGTAAAATGTGTGAAGCCCGTTTCGGGTGTTCCCCGCCGTGATAATACTGGAATATTGCTAAAAGTTGTGTAAAACCATACCCACTCAAACAGTCCCTAAGGAGTGCCATGTGCCACCGAGAGTAGGTTCGAATCCCAGATTCTCACTGATTATCATCCTTGGTAAGTGGGCACCCTACCCATGGGTCTTATCGGTGATCAACGTCTAAGACTTTCTTCACTGTGAGGCTGGCTCACAATGTTTGCTTGTTTGTTGTTTAACGCCGCACTCAGCAACATTCTATCAATATGACGGCGGTCTGTAAATAATCATGAATGGACCAGACAATCCAGTGATTGACATCATCAGCATCAATCTACGCATTTGGGATACGATGACATGCATCAACCAAGTCAGCGAGCCTGACCACCTGATCCCGTCAGTCGACAAGCATGGGTTGCTGAAGACCAATGCTTACCCGGATCTTCACGGGTTCTGACACACAATCAACTGTATACTGTCTAAGCGAACACAATGACTTTCTCTTTGCAGAAGGGTTAGTCTCTCACCTGGTGCCGACAGCCATGTCCGTACACTTGTCTCTCACTGTCAGGTCCACCCAAGACTGCCTCAGCTCCCACTGCACGCTACCGCTAATGCCGGTCAAGTTGAAGGTCACAGTCGTATCTTGACCCACAGCTGATTGCATGAAGGTTACATGACCGCGGATATTCATCATATTTATGGTCGTTTTCAGTGTCAGTTGACAATGGCAGCATAGCAGTGCTATAAAATGAAGAGGTTAACATGTTAGCATACTGGACTAAGTAATCAAAGCTTGTCTGTTTGTTTGTTGTTTTACGCCGCACCCAGCAATATTCCAGTTATAAGACGGCGGTCTGTATATAATCGAGTCTGGACCAGACAATCCAGTGACTGACAAATGGACATCGATCTGCACAATTATGAAACGATAACATACATCAACCATGTCAGCGAGTCCACCCGATCCCGTTAGTGGCCTCTTTCTACAAGCTGAAGATCAATTCTAACCCGGATCTCCACGTGTATAAGAGACTGCATACTGCGATATATTAATACGCCATTTAGTATCGTGAAGAATTAATATGTTGAGTTTGTCTGTGTGATGGTTTACGCCGCAATACTACGGAATATCAGGACGGTCCGTAAATAATCGAATCTGGACTTGGCAAACCAGAGACAGAAAGCCTGATCGACTATCCATCCCATGGAGGCCCGATGGCACCCAATCAGCCAAGACCACCCGATGCTCTTCAGTTGCCAAACAACGGCAAGCATGGCCTACTTGGGACCTATTCTTCCCCGGTATCCCCACGAGAGTAATGCAATGGATATGTCATTAATACTGAATTATAGTCATCCTCCAATCATTGCCCATCTAGCACTGTCATGATGGGACCCGTGAAGATCCGTGTCCCATACTTGCCGTAAAAGGCGACTATGCTTGTCGTAAGGGGCGACAAACAGGATCGGGTGGTCGGGCTCGCTGACTTGGTTGATGCATGTCATCGAATCCCAATAGCGTGGATCGATGCTCATGATATCAATATCACGGGTTTGTTTGGTTGAAGGTTACATGACCGTGGATTGATTGACTCGATTATTTACAGACCGCCGTCATATAGCTGGAATATTGCTGAGTGCGGCGTTAAACAACAAACAAACTGTCATGACGGACGCTAAAGTTGAGTAAGATTATGTTTTCCATTTGGCGTACACTGTTCGCATTCTTTATTCTTGAGGGCAATAGGGTCGCCAAGCGGTTAAAGGCGGACGGGCGACTCTGGTCCCAATCCCCACATTATGTCAAAACCGTTTCTGGTATCTCCGGTCGTGATATTCCTGGAGGAGAGCTAAAGACGCGTGACGTCACGGTATCTTACTCGCGTCTTATACCACATACATCTCGGGGGAAACAGAGCGTTACAGCTGATATGAAGAGAACAGTCCGGCCTACGTCACAAGTCACAAGTTGTACTAGGAATATTAAACCACAATTCTGTTGGACAAAACCGATTATTTATACACGAACAGGTGGGTCCCTTTTTGAGGTGACAGTGGGTTTAACGTCGGGTTATAAGTGCTTTGCACTCATTGAATACCCAACTCAGACACAGACTGCTGTGCAATGCTGTCCTTGTTTTGTGTGATGCTTGACCAGCTTGACGGTTAGAAGGCAACTATCATAAACTGTTTATGCATTCCAAACTAGGGTGTACACCGACATGCCTACGAAGTTAGACTATCAGGTTCCATCTACTGGTTTCAATGTGAATCACGAAGGAATGTGTCATATCAATGTTAAGTTTGTCAATGATCTTGCTCGCACATCAAAACATGACTTTGTAAACGAATTCTTTATGAGCAGGGGCTTAAACATCTTTTATACCTTGTATTCAATGTGATGACGTCAGTTGTGTGCCTAGAATATTTGGCTAACCACTCCTTGATGACTTGGTTACCCTCTCCTAGGTAATGTGGTTACCCTCTCCTAGATATTGGGTTAACCACTCCTGGATGTCTTGGTTACCCTCTCCTAGACAACTTGGTTACCCTCTCCTAGATAACTTGATTAACTACTCCCCTAGATAACTTGGTTAACCACTCCTAGATAACTTGGTTAACCACTCCTAGAAAACTTGGTTACCCTCTCCTAGGTAATGTGGTTACCCTCTCCTAGATATTGGGTTAACCACTCCTGGATATCTTGGCTACCCTCTCCTAGACAACTTGGTTACCCTCTCCTGGATAACTTGATTAACTACTCCCCTAGATAACTTGGTTAACCACTCCTAGATAACTTGGTTAACCACTCCTAGAAAACTTGGTTACCCTCTCCTAGGTAATGTGGTTACCCTCTCCTAGATATTGGGTTAACCACTCCTGGATATCTTGGTTACCCTCTCCTAGACAACTTGGTTACCTTCTCCTAGATAATAACTTGGTTAACCACTCCTAGATAACTTGGTTACCCTCTCCTAGATAACTTGGTTACCCTCGCCTAGATAACTTGGTTACCCTCTCCTATATAACTTGGTTACCCGCTCCTAGATAACTTGGTTAAACACTCCTAGATAACTTGGTTAACCACTCCTAGATAATTTGGTTACCCTCTCCTAGATAACTTGGTTAACCACTCCTAGATAACTTGATTAACCACTCCTAGATAACTTGGTTACCTTCTCCGCTAAAATAGCATATGAACACGACCATCATAAGTCCAGTATTGTAGCAGATAGGAGAACAAAATAGTTTATATCATAGAAAATATCCGAGAGGTGATAGGAATTATGTACATTTGCAGTTGATTTGAATCTGAGGGGTATCATATTCAAGTGATAGATGTTCATGTAAGTACATCGTAAGAGGCGACTAACGGATTCGGGTTGTCAGGCTGACTGACTTGGTTGATGCAAGTCATCGTATCCCAATTGTGTGGATCGATGCTCATGATGTCAATCACTGGATTGTTTGGTACAGACTCGATTATTTACAGACCGCCGTCATATAGCTTGAATATTGTTGAGTGCGGCGTTAAACAACAAACAAACAAACAAACATCAATAACAAAGCGTACTGATACCGGGAGCTTGTACAGTGTACTTATTCCGCACATTGTCCACACTACACACACAATGTGGAGGTTATCATACATAAAGCGAGGAAAGACAAGAGATTTGCTACTTTGCACTTTTATAGTGGAGGTGAGGTAATATTGGGTTTAACGTCGCGTCCAAGATTATTGCACTTATATAGCGACGTGCATGCACGTGTGTTTGTGTGTGTGGCTGCTTGTACTAGTCCGGACTGATGCCGATTTATAGTGCTAGCCCACTGAGATACCATGCTGCAGTTTAACATGAATACCCCACACAGTATACTGACTCCGAGCCGACCAGTCCTTGCTTTAACCCCTTAATGCCGAGTGCCAGACAGGGTAACTACAAGTACCATCTTTAAACGTCTTTTGGTATGACGCGGCCGGGGATCGAACCCCGGACCTTCCGCTCTCCGGGGGACGCTCTACCACTAGACCACGGAGGCGGTATTGCACTTTGATAAGTTGCAAATTGAAATTGTAGTGTACAAGCTGAATGCTGATGAAAATGATCTACATCTATTAAGGTAGATTGTGAATGACCGTGCTATCGGGAAATCACTTGTTTCGCCATTGATGGCCAGAGTATAGTGGACTATGTTTTGTGTTATCTTAATTGTTTTCCGGGTTTACACATTTTGATTGATCCAGCGTGTACCATATTTGCCAATCACCTATTCCCTTGACGGTAAAATGACACCTGTCAATCAGGCAGATAACCTTACTGATCGACCTAGATACGCCCAGAAAGAAGATAAGCGAACTGATTATATTAATTCTTGGAATTCGATAGAAATCTCGAAAACATACTTTTAAAAAAACGTTGAGAGTGGCAGTCCATTTGGCTCCAAATGAGAACAAGAGTCTGTTAACTGCCTATACGGTACACGGCAATGGATACCCAGTACCCAACAATAATATCTTCTATTTTTATTTCCATCACTGGAAAAGATTGTTTAAGAAACTATGATGTTATGTTCACAAGTAGACATCTTAAACGGTGCAGAGACAACGGAGGAAGAACAGCGCCATTCGTCACCACTCGCCCCTGTCCGTAACCTGCAAGAAGACTCGTCCCCCATCGATGCATGTTATGTGCGAAAATACGACAAACCAATCAGAATGCGCGTTTGACTTCAAGTACTTCGTCAAAGAATCCCTCAGGAATATTTTCTTTATTTTCCATGATATGTCTTGCATCTAAAAATATTCCCAAGACACAGTTAAATGTGTTCAATTATACTGTATAATTCCCTATGTCCAGATGTGCTTTAAATTGCATCTGAAATATATAATACATGTGGAAATATATGTGAACCATTACGCAACGAGTTGACAATTGTTTTGGGTATGCCCGTCTGCGCTTTTACGGAACCCGGTCGCATAAACGAGAGGGGCAAGGCTTAATCCAGTACAGACTAAGTTTGACACAGTTTTGATGTTCAGGTAATGATTTCATGACATTACAAGGAAGAAAGTTACGTATGCCTAGATGTGAAGGATTATGTCCACTTTGTATAATCTCTGTTGTGGAATCCGGGCATCATGTTTGTCTTGTGTGCCCATTTTACGATGGCCCTATGCAACTAAAGCCCCGTTTACACGACCACGTTTACTTATATAAGTAAATATACTTACGTAAGTATATATACTCACATAAGTAAAAGTGGTCGTGTAAACGCATTTGCTTACGTAAGCAAATATACTCCAGGAGTAAATATGCTTATGTGAGTAACATTTGGCCGTATAAACAGGGCTTAACTTTACCTAAATATTATTGGCAGTATCCATCAGAAAGTAAATGTATACAACTATTAAGTTCTTTTCAACTATTCATGTTTGGCGAAATATATTTTCTTAGTTGAAAAAAAGAAGAAAGATCCCTTGCTACTGGTAGCTTAAAATCACTGATATCCATCAATATAACGCTGTACTGTTGTATTGTACGTTGGCGCAACGCCATATTTAAACCGTTTGTGCTTCACTGTAAAAAGGGCACACAAGCTAGGACGGGTAACATTTATAATAAAGTCAGTTCCGTGTTAGACGGTAGACAAAGACCTTTAGACTTAAATAAAAATTCATTTCTTGTTTTTAATACTCTTCCGTTTAGAGAGTTGTACTGTACGGATATTGAGGTTTTATACAGAAACAGTCATTTGCGAATAAAGTGGGTGAGAATTGTTTAACGCCGCTTTTATTCCAGCAATTTCACGGCGGGGGGACACCAGAAATGGGCTTCGCACATTATACCCATGTGTGGAATCGAGCCCGGGTGTCTGTGATAAAAACAAGCATCTGTTTTACCGTATATGGTAAAACACCTGAAGATCACGTGATGCTGTGATTAGCAGAATGTCTCACGTGGCACATCCATCACGCTCAATGAGCAATAAGACGGGCGGATCCCACAATGCATATGTAGGTCACAACGACAGATCATGACAAATCAATTACTTTGTCTTTCCGGGCACGCCAAGGCAGTTTGTCACATGTTTCCCATTACTTACAAGAATGATCTGAAGCGAAATTCTGCTTAATTTACACATATGCGGGTGAGTGAATGTTATGTAGCGCCGCAGTCAGCAATATATCGCGGCGGCCTGTAAATACAAGCCAGTGACTGATAGCACGAGAAACTGTCTGGTTTAACACGTCATGGGCCACGTCACCGAGTCAGGCCATCTGACCTGGTGCAGGGGACCTCATTCACAAGCATATGTCAAACACGGGTAGTTCGATTGTTCCGTCCATAAATCGCAAAGATGGCTTATTTAGGTCTTTCTCACTCGTCAATTGGTTCAGCGAGGCGGGGGATTCCACGTAAATGGAAACAGCAATTGCGGGGTTCAAATTCAAAAACTGATGGCGAGTTCATTGTGGCTCATTTGTGGACTTGGGGATAGTGGGGGTGTTTTCGCGGTGTAACATCACACAACATATTAAATGAAGATAAATAGATACTAATGGACAACTTAAATATTCCCATAACGACAGAATGGGCTGCAGAAGACCTATTCTACCCCGGATCTTCACGGGTGGGTTGGGATGTAATGACACTGTATAGACATGGCCACCATAGCGCATGAGTCAGAGGCTGCTAGCCGTGAGCTCAGTGAGAAGGACACGAGACAGTAATGTATATGTGTTATTACTTTCTATGCAGATGTGACAATGTAATCCTAGCTATCCGCTCACTGTAGCAATTTGCTGACAGTAACCTGGCATAGAATTCCAAGAAAAGGCTTCACGTGTTTTATAATGTTCGGAATTGAACCAGGATCTTCGTCGTGACGAGCAAACGCGTTACATGCTTGACTACCCTGTGCGCACGACTATCAATGCTCACGACGTCAATCACTGGATTGTCTGGTCCAGACTCGATTATTTACACACCGCCGTCATATAGCTGGATTAGTTGCGGCGTTAGACAACAAACACACAAAATATGCATGAAATATGACTCTGTAGAGGGGTCACAGGTGAAGGCCACAGACGTCTTCCCGTGACAAAATATAACAGCAAATGCATTGTCACGTCACAACGATAAACATAGCCATTTAATGATTAAGCGTGTCCTCGAGCGACATACTACATATTGTTTCTTAAACGAAGTAAGAATGCCGCACTCCTTCACCGCCATGCGCGTGGCATCCGGAATATCATTAATTTTTAAAATGCATTTATGCGTCATGTACGTCACTCGGGACCAGGACAAGACTCGGATGACGTATCGGTTGTGTGTCACCAAACAGGCTGATAGGTGTGCTTTACAAATGATATTGTGCCATGAGTTCGGATTTATTCACCTGTAAGGACATTCGTGGCCCTCCGCGATCGTGTTATTCCGGAACAAGTCGAGTGACAGGTTATGCCCATGTGGACAACAATTTTATTGGGGATGTTATTTTCTTCAATATGGTGAATATAAGACTGATGAATGTATGATTTTTCGTGGACTATAAATACGCATGTATGCTCGACCAGGCTGGGGCTACATAGGTGCGTCCCCAAGGCACGCCATACACCTGTGATCGTAGTTCGTACCCCGGTTCGCCCTAATTAGGTTCTGGTTTAGTCAGCGCCATATTCGTTGGTACAGTGTGTGAAGCCCATTTCTGGTGTACCCCGCCGTGATATTGCTGGAATATCGCTTTAAGTGGCGTAAAACCATACTCACTCACTCACTCACTAGACCTAGACCAGCAATGGCCACCTGACGATGAAGCATAGCGCCTTTAATTAACAAAAGGCACGCTGAAGGTTACATAACGTCACCCCGGACATATCGTATCTAGTTCCACACATCCGGAAGATCCGGGTTAGAATTGGTGTTCAGCAACTCATGTTTGTCGTAAGAGGCGACTAACGGTATGGGTGGTCAGGCTCGCTGACTTGATTGATGCACGTCATCGTATCCCATTTGCGTAGATCGATGCTCATGAAGTCAATCATTGGATTATTTTGTCCAGGCTCGATTATTTACCGCCGTCATATGGATGGAATGTTTGTGAGTGCGGCTTTAAACAACTAAAATATCATTCATCATCAATCAATCATGCCACAGCGATAAATCACACTTTAATAAGAATGCTACCTTATACGCGAGGCATTGTGACGTTTCTGTCAAGGTGTTGACTGACATTGCCTGTAGCTATAGTATTGCTGAGGAGCTGGTGTCAGAGAACATCTTCTGTTTCTTTCACCCGGCTCAATTAACTGTGGTTCAATGAATAGCTATACATGATAGGACGACACAATGGCGTCACTTGAAACCTGCCCGACAACTGTGATACAGTACCAGTGCCATTACCGCGAATGTAATGTAAACTGCCGTTCACTTAAAAAACTGGATAATACTAAATTGGTACAAACGTTATCAAACGTCACTTGGCTGAAAACAGTCGCGGAAACATCGCGAACTTGAACTCCAAAACACAACTATTACGTCCGTATCAAATACATTAACATCGTATAACCATTTTGTTTGTTTCATTCTTAGTCACCTTCAAACGTGGGCGTATACTTTCTTTTGCCCGGAAGTATATTAAGTGGAATTAATTTTAATTCATTATATTTCTTTCTCGTCATTTGTCATTTAGATGAGCCGCGCGGTGGAAAGTGTAACAGCTGACCTCGGAGGTACCACACAGGATTTACATTACAAGGTCAGTTCGGGGATTATTGCCCGCCATGCTATTTATTCAACGCATACACCACAGAAAGGCTAACATATCGTTACAGAAAGAGTACCATAATACTTTATAGGTCACTCGTATCTATATTTAGTCCATTGTCTAGGAACCTTATAGCCCGGTCCTTGTATACACGTTTAAGGATTGTTAGTTCTGGAACAGTTAAAATGGTAGTTTCCACGCCGTGCGTTACCTCAAATACTCGGCCGTTGAGCACAAAAGCATATCTAAAGAGCCTTGATGACAGCACCGCGATGTTTACTAACTTGTCCGCCACAATGGATTTGACCCTTTCACATTTATGCGAGGTGAAGTGAGGTTTAACGTCACCTTCAAGATTACTGATTACTGCACTTATACATAGCCATGTGCATGCACGTGTATGTGGATGTGGCTGCTTGTTCTAGTCCAGACTTACGCCGGTTTTATAGTGCTAGCCCACTGAGATACCATTGCGCAGTTTAACATGGATACCCCTCTCAATAGACTGTTCCGAGCTAACCAGTCCTTGTTTTATCCCCCTATGACGAGCGTCCGGCAGGGAAACAACAAGTACCATATTGTATGACGCGGCCACCGACCTTCCGATCTCCTGGCGAAAGCTCATTCCACTTGACCACAGAGGCGGTTACTGGCAGACGGATGTAATGCGTCTATTTGTATTATATGTAACGGTCAACAAGCATTGCATCAAAACCTTTAGTTTATAGCATCATATGATATGGCGTAAACACAAAATGTTATTTTATTCTGTTTGACATAACAACTTCATAAAATGTCCATAAAGAGATATTTTGAAAAAAAATGTCAAGTTCTTAATTGAGATAATTCAACATAGATCTATATAAAATGCTTACTGAACATGCAAAAAGAATACTCACCATTCATAAAAAACAAGGCTGCAAAGGGGGCGAAGATATCCATGTTGAAACAAATCCCTGTATTAAATCTCCCACCTCACGTAACAAGAATGAAATGTCGTCTGCAACAAGCCCTGCACTCGGGCCAACTCGACTTATTCCGCTTCGACTGTGGACCGGCGTTGACTGAGAACAGCAGTGAAATACCTTGGATGACACCGTTGTACGCATGCGCAGTAGGGTAACTCAACATCCCCGTTATAACGCAGTGGCTGTCACTCATCAGCGCTTACTTACATAAACACGTAATGGAGGAAGATGTACATTCATGTTTCTTTGCCTGTTCTAAACAATAGCTCCGAAAGAATAAAATATATTGTTCATGGTTCTGTGTGTATTTGAAATAGTTTTGGTGTAATTCAAGAAATATCAAGTATCTTTCGTTATAACGCTATATAAACGCTCGTAATTCGCCATACCTCGCGAGTTGATCTGCCACCGCGTGCTCTAAATCCGGATTAGTGTGACGAATTCACACATTGTTTTTATACAATGCACGCTAAATTAGACGGATTAATATTTGCATAAGGTGTCAGAGAACATTTTCAGGAGAGAGAGTGTCAGCGGTCAGACAACTTAAAATAACAAAAGAAAAATCGATTGAATGCTCTGTTTATACAGAGGCCTCATACCGATATATGGTCTCTAGTTAACTAATGCTTTGCATATCAATGCAAAAACAGAAATTATGTGAACACCGAACTCACAATAGATATGTGAACCCTTCTCACACACAGGAGTCCCAAAGAGGGACAGGTCAGCCGAAATTGCCTAGGCAGAAGGCGACCTCTTAAACACCTAATGCAACAACAACAACATAATGCTTTACAGACTGATTATCGGTGGTAGCAATAATCGTTTGGAGAAATCCCTGACATCATCTTCGTGATGGAGATATACTATAGGGAGCACTACAGTACAAGCTTACAGTCAACTTTTGCTTAACATGGCAAAAAGGATTACCAAGGTGACATAGCTGATCAACATTTCGACTCATAAATAATTGTACATTTAAAGACTGAAGGTTGTTAAAATAATATTGTTTGGTGTCCGCTTTCCGTAGATCGGTGAAAAGCCGACACTGCAGTGCAAAGTGAACTCACCTTCAATATCAAGTTATGTATTTGCTATTTTCATTTAGTGACTCAATCAACATATAATTTCTTAAATCACTCCACAATTTTATTGCAAAAAAACAGAAGATTCGAATAGCAGTTATAAATCAATTTTGGATAAAATATTGAGGTTCTGACTTGAGATAGTGGTGACCGAGCTGGGGGAATGTAGAACCAGAACTTCAATGAATAAGGATAACAATTTATGGATGAACACCTTCTTGATTACAATTAAGAGCGACGTTTCGGTGTTGGTGTATGATAACAGTGTTAGAATCTACACCGAAACGTCGCTCTTAATTGTAGCAATGAAGTTGTTCATCCATAAATTCTTATCCTTACTTATTGAAGTTCTGGCTCTACATCCCCCTAGCTCGGTCACCACTATCTCAAGCTTACTGTTACAGATTAATTTTAAATATATTTGTAAATTTATATTTACCGTGAACATATCGACATACATTCACACACTGGAATCTGTTGGTCCCGGGGCGGTATTTGTATAAACAATCTTTTGATTTACCAATCCGTATCTCATTTATTAAATAGAAATATGTTTAAACCAGATTGGATCTGTTTCCGGTCGCTTCTTCAAGACAATCATTTCCTCTGAAAGGAAAACCGATTTTTCACAATATATTTTTCAAAACACCAAGCGAAAAAACAAACTAATATTATTAAAACACCTTGATGTCAAATAAGATTTTCTTACATTTTCAGGAACACTTTTATAAACTCCAATGGATGTTCACGTCAGTTGCGTTGTCGCTGATGCATCGATCGAAAACCTAAAAACTGAAATAGACAGTCAGATGTTTTATTGTCGTCTCACCCCGCTGTACACCATTATTACATGAAAATAACACCTTTGGATTAAAATACATAGGTAATTCCTTAGGAACATGTTTCTCCTTCCTTGTAAAATATATAAAACATGGACTTCGTCTTGAGTCACACTGTTATTACACAAGGGGCATATACGTTGATCAGGAAGGTTCTCATATCGTCAGGTTTCAATTCGAATAGGAGCAACACCGCACCTAACTTTAGCAAAGGCGTTTCGCAAACTCCCGGACATGGAAGATTTTACATAATTTCCCGCGCAATATTTTTACTTAAATTTACGATATGCCTGATTCTTCTCCTCAATAGCTCTAGAGGCGATTAATCCAGCTTGGGATCTGCTACGTACACATGGATTAAACTGATAATCCCCCCCCCCCCCCCCCCCCCCCCTTTGGAATTGCTCCTTGTTCTCCGTATGCATTGCTTTGCAAAGAATACAGCCAAGATTAGACATGTGCAGCGTGTATTAGGGGACGAACAGGGCGCCCGAAAAGGATTCCAACAAGTGATCAGAGAAAGGAATTGCAAGTAGGGTATCAACTTTGTAAAAAAAAACACAATTAGGGCTATTCAACGCGGTCTTAAACCAACACATTGCGGACAATCGACGGATTGGGGATTAAATCGGGGAAATTGTTCAAAGTTAACTACGCCTATGACACATATCTGTCAACTGACACAGATACTTACATGGAGTGAGTAAGGTAGATTTAACGCTGTTTTGAAAAGTATTCCAGTCATATCACGGCGTGTCACCTTAATTTGGGAGAAGTCAGGAAATGATGCAGGTCTTAGACATTTACAACGTTGGTGAAATCCTAGAGCACGGGTATGGTGCTGACAAACCTAGGAACATAATCTGAGCGAGTCGGGATTTGAACACACGATAATAGGTTTCTGATGTGCCCAAGGGACGCAACCCTGTACAGCGGAATGCGGCGTCTTAGACGACTGGGCCACCAGTGCTTCCAGTGTCAGTCAGAAGACCGAATGTGGAATAGGACCCAATGAAATCATTCTTTCAATTAACAGTGAGTGAGTGAGTTGGGTTTAACGCCGCTTTTAACAGTATTCCAGTTATATCGCGGCGTGTCAGCTTAATGTGAGAGGAAAGCCCGAAGTGATGCAGGTCTCAGACGTTTACCACTACGGTGAAACCCACGAGCACGGGTAAGGTACTGACAAACCTAATCATGGGGAACCGCTTTCAATTAACAGCACGTGAAGATACAATGCAAATTGAACATGCAAAGCACGAAAAACTGTTTGCCAATTCGAACAGAAATTCCGATTCTCATGCAAACAGATCAGCAAGAAGGGAGCACAATTGGTGCCTGTGGGAATGCCTACTTCTTGCCTACTTAATGTCTTACCCCCAAATCTTACATAGAGAGTCCAGCATGTCACATATTGTTTTCTCAGTAAACGTCAGATGGCACGCTTTCATTTTAAACAAATTGTCCTGAACCGCTTAAGATAGATATGTAACTGTATCTATGGTCACCACGTTCTGTAACAGAAACCCCATGGATCAAGGAATGAACATTTTCTCCCATGTTTGTCACGTGGGAGAGTGGTGTACAAAGTTGAAAAAGCAAATGTTTTGACAGAATGGAACCGGGTTCTTTTCTGAGATTGTAGGAACCCAAGCAAATCCTTTGAGTTTTTGAGAATCCACATGATATTAATTCCACTTTTCTCAAATACCTTCTGTAAGTATAAAGAACGTCCTTCTCTGATGGTTATAAGGATTATGGTTAATCGTTGAGACGATATTTGGTGATTCACTTGCTGGACCCAGCAATATATCTCTCTTTGTACGGAATATGACGAGGAATAGACATCTCTTCAGGTTTTAGAGTCAAGCCAAACGTTGATAGTACCGATGCATGATTTGGGCAGATTTCCTCCTCAGTTAACGTACTGGCCTTATATGTGGCATTATTTGATATGGCATTTATGCCAAGTCCTTTGATCAATCAATAAGTGTGGTGATGCTTACATATCATTGTTATGTTATTTGAGACCTTGCCACTGGAAATAACTCCAAACTCATCATATAGGGCAGTCAGACTGAGGATGGGAGCTGGCTGGGACAGAATGGGTTCGTTCGTATTCTGTTTCCTCTTTTTCAGTTTGTGCATTCTACCAACGACAACATCACGCACTGACTTAATACACTCTGAAAGACAATCAACATGTTCCCCTTCTCTTTTGGTCCATGTTTTTACATATGCCTCGACAGCATCTACACTGATTATAAAGTTGTGATCCAATTGGTAGGAGGCTGGTCGAGATATGTTGGTCCATATTTGCATTTGAAGAAAAGACGAATGTTGTTATTGTCAACAATAGGGAAGTCATCTGTGACCATGTGACCAACTGGTTTGTAGCAACAAAAAGAGTCTTGGCAACTCCACAAGAAGAGGAATTTACACCATGAGCTGCCAAGTCCACGTTCTGCAACACTCTCACTCTCTAAATACATAGTGTTTATTCCAAGTACAGGGTGTTTACCATACTAAAACACACTCTCTCTAAATACATAGTGTTTATTCCTTGTACATGGTATTTACCGTTCTAAAACACACTTTCGCTAAATACATAGTGTTTATTCCTAGCATAGGTTATTTACCATTCTAAAACCACATTCTCACTAAATACATAGTGTTTATTTTAAGTACAGGGTGTTTACCATACTAAAACACACTCTCTCTAAATACATAGTGTTTATTCCTTGTACATGGTATTTACCATTCTAAAACACACTTTCGCTAAGTACATAGTGTTTACCCAGCATAGAGTATTTACCATTCTAAACCACACTCTCGCTAAACACAATGCGTTTATTCCTAATACAGGATACTTGACCTCCTAAAATGTGCTCGCCCGCTATCTTCGGGCTTTCCTCCCACATTAAGCAGACACGCCGTAATATAATTGGATGAAATACTATTCAAAGCGGCGTTACACCCAACTCACTCACTCACTCACTCACTCACTCACTCACTCACTGTCGATCGACCCCAACTTCCATCCATCTTATGGAAACGTATAAGTTCATTGAATGCTACTGTTCTACTGTAAATATCATATTCTGTTGACAAAATGACGTCAGTATTACAGTCATTAGGCCATCTTGTACATACTTCAAACCCCACATATTTACACAGCACTTCTAACATGACAAGGCTTTTAATTCTGCATCACCTAAGTGCATCAGCTGCAGCTATCCTTATGAGGGATGAAATAACGCTGAATAACGCTGAACCACATCAGCGGCAGCGCAGGACGTGGGCGGCAAACCCTCCCCTCTCCCGACAGACATAGTCCTATGACTGCTGTGTCATGCTATACAACGATGGGACTAGAGACCCTTCTCCCTATGGGACGCTACATTATTCTGCAATTAAAACAATTCCCAGTGCATTTCACAAAGTGGAAAGTTTTCTATTGCATTTCCATATACACCACTCCACCAGCGAAGTCAACCCCCCCAGCCCCCTTATTCCTCCCCCCCCCCCCCCTTCCACCTCCTATACCCTTCCTCTATCAACACCGCCCATATATGCACGTTCGCTTCCTTGTGTCAGAACGAAAGAAAACAACACAGTATAGTTCTAATTCTCGGCCACAAATGTAGCAAATGGAGTAAAATTAAATACAGTTTTAATTGACTAGGGCTTTCAACCACATGCGATTCCGTATTTAAAATGTCCGTTAATCTGTTATTTGAACAGTTAATTAAAACTCCAGATTTCTGTCGTCACTATCAGTTTTATTTCTATAACTAAGTTTTACAGTTATATATATTTCTGTCGTCACTGTTTGGGACTGCCCATTTTATATTCACTCTTTTGAATCAGCGACTAATCCGTTTGATGCGATCCAGGTAAGGGGGTGCGGGTTGCGGATGTAGAAATATGTGGTCTTGTTCATTCCATCTCACATGTACAGCACACAACCGGAGGCTAAACACAATATTGGCTTTAGGGGACTGGCCCATGAACACCGCCTTCAAACCACTTCTCATTCCAACCCGGATATCGCTTTGAATCCTTGTGGCTTGGATGGTACGTTGTCTGAAGCAATTTGCTGTGCAGAGTTGTGTCCCCTAAGCGTGCCAGGAATCTAGGGTAGTGGATTCGAATCCTAGAATATTTCTTGGTTTGTCAGCACCACTCTCGTGAGTATCACCATGCGTCACCTCAGGCTTTCCTCTCACATTAAAGTGACAGACTGTCAATCTCCCGTTGCCACCTCACTCACTCACTCACTCACTCAACCAAACACCCGACCCTTGAAGATAAGGGCCAGAATAGGCACACGAGGGCTGTGCAGAGCACACGGGAGCAGTACAGAGCACAAGAAGGCAGAGCAGAGCACTCGAGGGCAGCGCAGAGCACATGAGGGCAGCGCAGAGCACACGGGAGCAGTGCAGAGAAAAAGGGAGCAGTGCGGAGCACACGAGGGCTGTGCAGAGAACATGAGGGCAGTGCAGAGAAAACGGGAGCAGTGCAGAGCACACGAGAACACTGCAGAGCACACGAGGGCAGTGCAGAGCACACGAGGATAGCGCAGAGCACACGGGAGCAGTGCAGAGCACACGAGGACAGCGCAGAGCACACGAGAGCAGTGCAAAGCACACGGGAGCAGTGCAGAGCACACGGGGGCAGTGCAGATTGGTTGGTTGGTTGGTTTGTTGTTTAAAGCCGCACTCCGCCGCAGCAATATTCCAGCTATATGACGGCGGTCTGTAAATAATCGAGTCTGGACCAGACAATCCAGTGATTAATATCACGAGCATCGATCCACGCATTTGGGATCGATGACATGCATCAACCAAGTCAGCGAGCCTGACCACCCGATCCCGTTAGGGCAGCGCAGAGCACACGGGAGCAGTGCAGAGCACACGAGGGCAGCGCAGAGCACACGGGAGCAGTGCAGAGCACACGAGGGCAGCGCAGAGCACACGGGAGCAGTGCAGAGCACACGAGGGCAGCGCAGAGCACACGGGAGCAGTGCAGAGCACACGAGGGCAGAGCAGAGCACACGGGAGCAGTGCAGAGCACACGAGGGCAGCGCAGAGCACACGGGAGCAGTGCAGAGCACACGAGGGCAGCGCAGAGCACACGAGGGCAGCGCAGAGCACACGAGGGCAGCGCAGAGCACACGAGGGCAGCGCAGAGCACACGGGAGCAGTGCAGAGCACACGAGGGCAGCGCAGAGCACACGGGAGCAGTGTAGAGCACACGAGGGCAGCGCAGAGCACACCAGGGCAGTGCAGAGCACACGAGGGTAGTGCAGAGCATTGGAGAGCAATGCAGAGCACCCGAGGGCAGTGCAGAGCACACGAGAACACTGCAGAGCACACGAGGGCAGTGCAGAGCACACGAGGACAGTGTAGAGCACACGAGGGCAGTGCAGAGCTTACGAGGGCAGTGCAGAGCACACGAGGACAGTGTAGAGCACACGAGGGCAGTGCAGAGCACACGAGGGCAGCGGAGAACACACATTGAGCAGTGCAGAGCATTGAAGGGCAGTGCAGAGCTTACGAGGGCAGTGCAGAGCACACGAGGACAGTGTAGAGCACACGAGGGCAGTGCAGAGCACACGAGGGCAGCGGAGAACACACATTGAGCAGTGCAGAGCATTGAAGGGCAGTGCAGAGCTTACGAGGGCAGTGCAGAGCACACGAGGACAGTGTAGAGCACACGAGGGCAGCGGAGAACACACACTGAGCAGTGCAGAACATGCGCGAATAGAGCAGGCAGAGCAGAATAAACGAGTGCAGAACAGATGCTCAATTTGTTATTTTTTATCTGATAAAGTCGTCACAAAACGGTTTTATTGTCCTTTGAAATTTGCATAATTCGTTTATTGGGATAGTCAAGGAATGTGCGTCTTGGGCAAGTTTATGAAACATATCGCTTTAACACATCATTTGGTTTTGAAAATCGTCATGCCCAGATTCTGTGATAATGCAACAAGTAACTGTTGGTAAACTTAAAGCTGGTGAATCACAAGCAAGTATTTCAACCCTGCCCAGAACACAATATCCCGACTTCCGGCACGAGGTCGGCAACATTTCACCGCTAGAGGTCGTCCAAGATCAGGGAGACTCCTTATCACAACAGCTGCCCAGGGTCGCTACATTTACAATAGGTCTTCAGCAACCCATCAGCAACCCACCCATATACGCAGAGACGTCACTGTTGACGTTACATGTTACAATCTCTTTTTTCACTTTGCAATCTTCTAAACACTCACGTGTCCCACTCATCGCTTTTAATGCCGGTACTGTCCGATGCAATTCAATATTTTGACTTGTACCATGTGTTCCCGTATTTTTATAAAGGTAAACACGTGACTTGCCTTTGCATGTGTTTGTGACGGGTGCCACCGGTGGGGCAGGATACGCTCACCGCGAACACCTGGTGTCATCACTTTTTGATAGCGATTCCAAAGGAATTGTTTACGATATGGTTAAAATTATACTATGGCCTCTGCTCTCAGCATATATTTCTTATGATTATTCAAATGGTTTTCTCGCTTTTACACAAGAGTGAAATAAACCTCGATTAGCGTCTTCCAGACTTTTAACAACCGGGGTAACTATTCATACAGTTTGTTTGTTTGTTTGTTGTTTAACGCCGCACTCAACAATATTCCAGCTATATGACGGCGGTCTGTAAATAATCGAGTCTGGACTAGACAATCCATTAATTGACTTCATGAGCATCGATCCACGCAATTGGGATAGATGACATGCATCAACCAAGTCAGCGAGCCGGACCACCCGATCCCGTTAGTTGCCTCGACAAGCATAGTCGCCTTTTACAGCAAGCATGGGTTGCTGAAGACCTATTCTACCCCGGATCGTCACGGGTCACTATTCATACAGCCTCGGCCTAGTGCAACTACCTTTTCCTAAACCGTAAGGCCGGTCATTCAAGGTCTGCTGTATAGCAGGGTTCCAGCGTATTGTGTGTCAGGATAAATACATTAACAAGGAATACGTTAAGCCGTGTTTATGTGTGGTCGATACACAGGAAAACAGCTAATGCTCTCATTGCGATAACAGTACAGCAGTCCTCCTTTCTGATAACGATTTATAATATACACAGTCTCTGGTATCTTTATACCTAGGTATTGTACTGGTGTCTTTATAACTAGGTATTAAACTGATATCTTTATAACTAGATATTAAACTGGTATCTTTATAACTTGGTATTAAACTGGTATCTTTATAACTAGGTATTAAACTGTTATCTTTATATCTAGGTATTGCACTGGTGTCTTTATAACTAGATATTAAACTGGTATCGTTATAACTAGGTATTAAACTGTTATCTTTATAACTAGGTATTAAACTGGTATCCTTATACCTAGGTATTGCACTGGTGTCTTTATAACTAGGTATTAAACTGTTATCTTTATAACTAGGTATTAAACTGGTATCCTTATACCTAGGTATTGCACTGGTGTCTTTATAACTAGGTATTAAACTGTTATCTTTATAACTAGGTATTAAACTGGTATCCTTATACCTAGGTATTGCACTGGTGTCTTTATAACTAGGTATTAAACTGTTATCTTTATAACTAGGTATTAAACTGGTATCCTTATACCTAGGTATTGCACTGGTGTCTTTATAACTAGATATTAAACTGTTATCTTTATAACTAGGTATTAAACTGGTATCCTTATACCTAGGTATTGCACTGGTGTCTTTATAACTAGGTATTAAACTGTTATCTTTATAACTAGGTATTGAACTGGTATCCTTATATCTAGGTATTGCACTGGTGTCTTTATAACTAGATATTAAACTGGTGTCTTTATAACTAGGTATTAAACTGTTATCTTTATAACTAGGTATTAAACTGGTATCCTTATATCTAGGTATTGCACTGGTGTCTTTATAACTAGATATTGCACTGGTGTCTTTATAACTAGGTATTAAACTGATATCTTTATAACTAGATATTAAACTGGTATCTTTATAACTTGGTATTAAACTGGTATCTTTATAACTAGGTATTAAACTGGTATCCTTATATCTAGGTATTGCACTGGTGTCTTTATAACTAGATATTAAACTGGTATCGTTATAACTAGGAATTAAACTGTTATCTTTATATCTAGGTATTAAACTGGTATCCTTATACCTAGGTATTGCACTGGTGTCTTTATAACTAGGTATTAAACTGTTATCTTTATAACTAGGTATTAAACTGGTATCCTTATACCTAGGTATTGCACTGGTGTCTTTATAACTAGGTATTAAACTGTTATCTTTATAACTAGGTATTAAACTGGTATCCTTATACCTAGGTATTGCACTGGTGTCTTTATAACTAGGTATTAAACTGTTATCTTTATAACTAGGTATTAAACTGGTATCCTTATACCTAGGTATTGCACTGGTGTCTTTATAACTAGGTATTAAACTGTTATCTTTATAACTAGGTATTAAACTGGTATCCTTATATCTAGGTATTGCACTGGTGTCTTTATAACTAGATATTAAACTGGTGTCTTTATAACTAGGTATTAAACTGTTATCTTTATAACTAGGTATTAAACTGGTATCCTTATATCTAGGTATTGCACTGGTGTCTTTATAACTAGATATTGCACTGGTGTCTTTATAACTAGGTATTAAACTGATATCTTTATAACTAGATATTAAACTGGTATCTTTATAACTTGGTATTAAACTGGTATCTTTATAACTAGGTATTAAACTGGTATCCTTATATCTAGGTATTGCACTGGTGTCTTTATAACTAGATATTAAACTGGTATCGTTATAACTAGGTATTAAACTGTTATCTTTATAACTAGGTATTAAACTGGTATCCTTATACCTAGGTATTGCACTGGTGTCTTTATAACTAGGTATTAAACTGTTATCTTTATAACTAGGTATTAAACTGGTATCCTTATACCTAGGTATTGCACTGGTGTCTTTATAACTAGGTATTAAACTGTTATCTTTATAACTAGGTATTAAACTGGTATCCTTATACCTAGGTATTGCACTGGTGTCTTTATAACTAGGTATTAAACTGTTATCTTTATAACTAGGTATTAAACTGGTATCCTTATACCTAGGTATTGCACTGGTGTCTTTATAACTAGGTATTAAACTGTTATCTTTATAACTAGGTATTAAACTGGTATCCTTATATCTAGGTATTGCACTGGTGTCTTTATAACTAGATATTAAACTGGTGTCTTTATAACTAGGTATTAAACTGTTATCTTTATAACTAGGTATTAAACTGGTATCCTTATATCTAGGTATTGCACTGGTGTCTTTATAACTAGATATTGCACTGGTTTCTTTATAACTAGGTATTAAACTGATATCTTTATAACTAGATATTAAACTGGTATCTTTATAACTTGGTATTAAACTGGTATCTTTATAACTAGGTATTAAACTGGTATCCTTATATCTAGGTATTAAACTGGTGTCTTTATAACTAGATATTAAACTGGTATCGTTATAACTAGGTATTAAACTGTTATCTTTATAACTAGGTATTAAACTGGTATCCTTATACCTAGGTATTGCACTGGTGTCTTTATAACTAGGTATTAAACTGTTATCTTTATAACTAGGTATTAAACTGGTATCCTTATACCTAGGTATTGCACTGGTGTCTTTATACCTAGGTATTAAACTGTTATCTTTATAACTAGGTATTAAACTGGTATCCTTATACCTAGGTATTGCACTGGTGTCTTTATAACTAGGTATTAAACTGTTATCTTTATAACTAGGTATTAAACTGGTATCCTTATATCTAGGTATTGCACTGGTGTCTTTATAACTAGATATTAAACTGGTATCTTTATAACTAGATATTAAACTGGTATCTTTATAACAAGGGCGTTAACTGATCATACAAGTTCAGTTACCACCCTTGATGAACTAGACTGGAATTTCCAGGTTTGATCTTAGTGCCACCAGTGGCTGTTGTGAGTTATGTCCCTTCTATATCACTCATATTGACCAATCGGATTCCATCTCTTATATCATTTACCTATGCTTCAAACACAATGGCAGTGCCCAGTCAAGACGATCTGATCGATACTCAAGATATATATTTTAATAAAACGGGCCTTACCCCGTTAAGTACATCAAATCGCTTGAGCACCTTGATTAAAAACATGAAACAATTTGCAAAATATCTGTCGAAGCCCAGTTGACGGTACACATGCTTTGCAAATCCTGCAGTCGATCGAAGTCTGCACGTTAAAATCCATGTTGTTTACGAACCGGATGTCTGGTTCGTTACGTGATTTTGATTGGACTATGTAAGACTCGTTAGTCCAGCCAAACTACGGAATTCCAGCCCAGTTCGTCAAGGGTGGAAACTGGGCTATTATAGTCAGTAAACTCCCTTGCCTCGAGAAGATGGTGTTGTCATAACTAGGTATTGTACTGGTATCTTTATATTCACTTATTATACTGGTGTTTTATATACAGGTATTGTACTGGTAT